AGTACCTCAGGGGCCACACAGGAGCTTGGAGATAGAGGGACTTGCAGGCTTCAAACGCACCACAGCACCCACCACCAGGTGTTCCAGGTGGTACCTGAGGCGTTGACGACAGGCCGGATGATATTGGGGTGGTACAAACGGATGACGGGGATGAAGGGGCCCATCCAGACCTTAAAGCCCTGGGGGTAGGTGGCCACCAGCTGAGTCAGGACCCTCATCCCCTGCTCCGTGACAGGGACCTGTAAGCAAGGCAGGGGCCGTCACCTCCTGTGATGGTTAATTCTAGGTGTCCACTTGACTGGGCTAAGGGATGCCCAGATAGCCAGTCTAACATTATTTCTGGTTGTGTCTGTGAGGGCATTTCCAGAAGAGACTGGCATTCAATTTGGTAAACTGAGGAAGGAAAAACTGCCTCCCCAATGTGGGCAGAGCTCATTCAATCTGTTGAGAGCCCAGGTAGCACAAAAAAGCAGAGGAAGGGCTAATTTGCTGTGTTCTGGGGCTGGCACATTCACCTTCTCCTGCCCTTGGACATCAGACCTCCACCTTCTCAGGCCTTTGGACTCTGAGTTATACCACCATCATCCCTGTCTCTCCAACCTGCAGACAGCAGACCATGAAGCATCTCAGCCTCCATAATCCTGTGAGCCAATTTCCATAATAAACTCCCTCTTCTATCTGCCTACCTATCTGCCTGTCTATGTATCTATCTATCATCTATCTACCTCTCTGCCTATCCATCTATCTACCTATATATATATATACACATATATATGTGTGTATATATACATACATATCTACCTATATATATATATACACATACCTACCTATATGTCTATATATCTATGTATATATTTATGTAATCTATGTTTCTATGTATCTATCCATCTATCTAATCCATCCATTCTATCTTATCTATCCATCTATCATCTATCCATGCATCCATTCATCCTATCTGTGCATCCATTCATCCATCTAGCCTATAATTTACCTACCTATTCATATATTTAATCTATTCATCCTAATTTTTCTATCTCAATATCTATGTACCCATCCATCCAATCTGCACATTCATTCATTTATCCTATTATCTGTCAGTCATCTAGCTATCCATCCATCCATCTAATCTATCCATCCTACATGTCTACTCTACCTATCTATCCACCTAATCTATCCATTCTGTCTACTACTCTATGAATCTGTCTATCCATCCATCCATCCATCTATCCTATGCGTGCGTCCATCTGTCCATCCATCAATCTATCCTGTCATCCATCTATCTACCTACCTACCTGCCTACCCAGCCAGCCAGCCATCTATTCTCCCTCTCTGTGCATCCATCCATCCATCTATCCTGTTACCTATCTACCTACCTGTCTACATTCTTTCTGCTCTATCTCTCTTGAGGCCATCTCCAAGTCCCAAAGGTGCATCCCAGGGCAGAAGGAAAACACACTCTGCTCACAGAGGGCCACTTAACTTGAGAGGAAAGATTTTCTTGTTCTGGGAGTCGTGTCAGCCCAGAGGCAACCATATGAGGAGGTCCTCACAGGGGAGATTTGTGGGGAGCAGTATGGCCTCAGGACATGTCCCTAAGGCTGGTCCCCACATCCCTTCATGTCCTGGCTGGTCCACACAGGTTCAAGTTCCTCCCATGGAGAGGGTTCTGCACACAGGGTACCCTCCTTCTCAGCAGCCACTAGGGGGCAGAGGTAACTCTAACTGTCCATCAGGACAGTGGCTCCCACCCGGGAGCAGCTTCTGCACCAGGCTCTGTGCTAGTGCGTCCCGTGCACCCTTCCACTTCACCTGATGAATTGACACGTCTATCGATCCTGCCATTGGCAGTGAGTAGACTGAGACCACATCTCCCAAAGGGGAGAGGAGGTCTAAGCCAGAGGGCAAGGTCCGGGGGAGGAGGAAGGTCAGGGGAGGCTTCTGACAGGGGAAGTGAGTGGCCAACTTTTATCTGGGTTTGGCAACAGGACTTATTGGGACATCTCACTGGGGAGGAACAAGATAAGAGGAAGGTGCTTCCGGATGTGGTGGAGGTGGGAGACAGCCCACACCTCTCCTCTGGCCCAGCTGTACCCTCATCCCAGGACATAGGCCAGGCAGGGAGACGACCCCGGACAGTAGAGAATGTGGGAACGCCAGGGGCTCGCCTCTCTGTGCACTGAAGCCCCTGCCCAGGAGCCCCGCAGAGGGGAACTAATGTGGAAACACAGGCAGGAAAAGGATTCAGTGCAGGCTAGGAGTGGGGGGACAAT